GAACAGAATAAAGAGCCCAGAAATAAACCCCATACTTTCACAGTCACTTAATATTTGACAAAAAAGACCAGAACACACAATGGGGTAAAGACGGCCTATTCAATAAATGGTGTTGGGAAAATTGGACAGATATATGCAAAAAAACCAAACTAGACCACCTTCTTATACCATATATAAGACTCGAAACCATAAAAATCCTAGAAGAAAACATAGGCAGTAAATCTCAGACATTTCTCACAGCAATATTTTTTCTGCTGTATCTCCTTGGGCAAGGAAACAAAAGAAAAAAATAAACAGATGGGACTACATCAAACTAAAAAATTTCTGCACAGCAAAGGAAATCATAACAAAATGAAAAAGCAACCCACTGAAGGGGAGAACATATTTGCCAATGATAACAACTAATAAAGGGTCAATATCCCAAATTTATAAAGAACTTAAAGAACTCCATACCAAAAACAAAACAAAAAAAAAAACAAAAAACCAACCCAATTTAAAAATGGGCAAAGGACCTGAATAGACATTTCTCCAAAGAGAACATACAGATAATGAATAGATATATGAAAAGATGCTCAAAGTCACTAATCATCAGAGAGATGCAAATTAAAACAACAAAGACCTATCACCGCACACCTGTTAGAACAGCTATCATCAACAAATCACCAAACAAGTATTGGAGAGGATGTGGAGGTGCACTGTTGGTGGGAATGCACGCTGGTGCAGCAATGGTTGAAAGCAGTATGGAGGTTACCTCAAAAAATTAAAAATGGAACTAGCTTATTACCCAATGATTCCACTTCTGGGAATATATCCAAAAAAGCCCGAAAGAATATTTGCAATCCTATGTTCATTGCAGCAGCCAAGGTTTGGAAGGAGCTCAAGTGCCCATCAGGAGATTAAAAAAGAGCTGTGGTACATTTACACAATGAAATACTACTTGGCCATAAAAAAGAAGGAAATCTTACCTTTTGCAACAGCATGAATAGACTTAGAGTATTATGCGAAGTGAAATCTAATGAACAAAATAAACTAACAAGATAGAAACAGAATCATAGATGTAGAGAACAGACTGACACTTGTCAGAGGGGAGGGAATTGGGTGAAAAAGGTGAAGGAATTAAGTGTAAAAAAAGATCATAGACAGACAATAGTATGGTGATTACCAGAGGGAAAGGGAATGGGGGGAGGTAGGAGAAGGTAAAGAGGGGTTAAATGGTGATGGAAGGAGACTTGACTTGGGGCGGTGAATACACAGTACAATATACAGGTAATGCATTATAGAATTGCACACCTGAAACCTATGTAGTGTTATTAACCAATGTCACCCCAATAAATTCAGTAAAAATAAAAACATTAATTTCTTCTTCTAAAATACTATCATTAGAAATATAATAAAAGCAAAAGAAAAGTCACTGAATCAACTTCCCTACCACAATGGGGCCAAAAATCTTCTCACCTCACTGACAGAGACAAAAATATATAAAAACTAAAGAGCCCAGAGCCAGCTGATTATTTATGGAAAACCTAATCACTCTGTAATTATCCCATTTTTTCAAAGTTGTAAAATGATAAAAGCTGTTAGAATATGAAGGTAACCTGTGAGAATGGGAAATTAGTTGGTCCTAACAATCTAGCAGTTCTTCAAAAAAATTTTCTATCTTAACCCTCCAACTAGTAAACATATCTCTCAGATTTAGAGTTCTAGATAATGACAATGAACCAGATAATCTAGCACTAAACCTTCTATAACTACTATTAACTTTGAAAGTGGAAAAACAAGGTGTAAAAAGACATGAATAGGTTTCCCAGGGTCATGCATCCTCCTCCTTGGTGAGAAAGTAGCCCATCTCTGTGCAGGCTTCTTGAGTCCTAACCTCCCAGATACTCTTTTCTCCATAACATTCAGGCTGGTGGAGATATTAGAATCATCCCTCAGCCTGCTACTGTCCCTTATAAAAGGACATTTGAATAAATAAACCATTTGACTTCTTTGTGCTTAGTATGGGGAGAGAGAGGAGGGGGAGAGACAGACAGATAGACACACCCTCTAGAAATAAAGCGAACTGGGAAGACTGATAAACCAGGGGAAGAAAGGTAGCTATATCCTAAAGTGTACTCAAGTCAGCTCTGAAATTCACTCAAATGTGTGGCTCACTGCCTAAACCAACATATACATCTGGTAATAATAAACACTGATAAATCATAAACAAAAAGGGCTTTCTTAATTCAAAGACTCCACAAACTATTGATAATATTAAAATTTACATAAAACACAGTCAAACAATTTGTGTGAAATCGATTTTTTAAAATAGTATTTCAATTTAAGTTAGTAAGCAATGCAAAACTGTTGGTATTTTACTGCCTAGTCTTGAAAAGACTAAAAAAGCCAATGTCTTCGAATTGACCAAGTTACAAATCTGTTTTCAGTAGAGAGAAGAAACATATTGCCTCTGTTTAATGCAAAGGACAAAAAAGATCATCCCTGCAAATCATAATGTTTGGGTTCAAGATGAAAACAGGAAACAGACAGGCTGCCCAGGTATAATTATGGTTATAGTCTAATGTGCCTTCAGGTTCAGCCAAGAATTAAAACCCAGTGAAGAGGGTAAGCAGAACATACTTGCTTCTACCTTGCAACAGAAGGCAACTTTTAATAATACTCCCAGCAACATGTTACATAACCAACAGTAAACAACAATCTGATTCAAACCTCATTAGTAACAACATTCTGCCACTGTCTCCCACTGAAATTAATAGCTGACTTTGCCAGAGGGAAAAGAAATGCAGCACATATCAATCTACCCATTTCTGTGGCGCCTACCATAGTGAACCAGACAAGTAGATAATACCACCAAACCTATACAGAGTCTACAAAAATATTCTTTTTTCTTTCCCAGTTCCCTGCTCTTCCTCCTTTTAACCAGATCATAGCATATGGATGCATTTAAATTCCAAGAGGAAAGTCAGTTGAGAAGGCTCATCTAACTCTTACTGCCTATTTCAGCTCTGCTCTGAAAGAAACAGAGGCATAAATGATGGATTTTTGTAGCGAAGATAAACAAGTCTCGTTTATGCTGTAACAGCAGCTGTGTGAAAAGGAAAGGCATAGTGAGGGAGCAGCCACGCAGAGCGGGAAGGAAAGGAAGATGCTAAGGACAGCCACGCAAACTATCATAAACAAAAATTCAATTAAAAATTGAAACAAAATGTATACAACTTTTATGAAGGTTACATGTTAACTTCTCTCTTACAAGTGTTTTGTTTTCTTGTAATCTCTGGGTTTGCCTTAGAGGACAGAAAGTTGCAAAGGAGTAAAAATGTCTGCAAAGTAATTTGTTCAGATCTAAAAATAATTCCTTACTTAACTTGAAACCCACTAATTTGATAACAATAATCGAACCAATAAATGTGAAACAATCACATAGTGTCTAGGTATTGTTTACTCCACAACAGACGGTATCATTGGTATCTAGCAGAAATTTTAAACTACTTGGATGTTACTACAACTACTGGGACTAAAGTTTTCAACCTTTCAGCTTTCAAATGAACATTAACAACTAATTCACTCTAGGCAATCTGGGTACTCTAAGGAAATTCAAGTCCTCCAGTTTGGTTTTTTTTTAAAGAATTTTTAAAAGAATTTTTTAAAACAGCAACTCAAGGACCCTTTCCTTTTCCAACTCTTGGGAGGCCAAGCCACAGCCTCCACCTACCCAGCCTTTGTTGCTAGATAAGAACACGCTTGGTAGTGCTAGGCAACAGGCACGAGTGACAAACTCGTCCAGATTGGAAAACTTTTTCCACAGAAAGATAAGGTAAACAAGATATACTTAGCGCCACACCCATTTCGAGGCACAGGCGGCCAGGAACGCTCTTTCCCCTCCTCTCCAGACCTCCAGCTGGTCAGGAAACAATGCCTCTGCAATCAAGATAGCGATCTGGCCCAGGGTGTCCGGGCATCCCTCCCCTCCGGGCTGGCCCACAGCTCCACTCTCCCCTGCCCTCCAAACCAGAGTTGGGACATTTTGTCAGGAAGCGGGCAAACGTCCAAATACCCAACGATCCTCGTCCCACTTCTTTTTTTGCAACCAAAATCTGTTCTGGCTACCGAGCATGCTCCCACTGAAGGCAGGCGCCAGACGGGAGTTTTCAAAGCTACGGCTCCAAACTCCACAGAGTGAGAGCCGCTGAACGGGGAAGAGAGGAGACGGGGAGGGGGAGAGGGAGACGCCGGAATAGGAACCTGGAGTATTGATACAGGAGGGAAGGACCCGGCCAGGGGCCGAACACGATGAAGACACACGCACTGCTTGGCATTCTCCTCGCAGCTATGCAGAAGTTCTACGTGAAATGAAAGAAATCTCCGCAGCGGCGAAGGCTGGCACGGCAAGTGGCAGAAACCGGGTCTAACACCCAGCTGAGTGCGGTAGCAGGTCACAACTGCCCGGAGTGTAATCCCCACCGATAAGCGAGGATCCTTATCTTTGAAACACAAAGCGACGGCGGCACGGATTCATCAAGCCGCTGGACAGCTTTGCAGCGCAGCTGACCAGGCTGCTCGCCCGAGCACGGCAATCGTCGCGAAGGTGTGCGCTGAGAGTGGTGCTTAGATGAGAACAAACAAACCGATCCTCTGGGCAGAAGCGGGCCCGGGGGCCCCCCCGCCCCGCGGGCGTCCGAACGCCCCCGTGCACGGTTCCGGGGCTTCGGCGGCGCAGGGACCAGGACCAACCTCCGCCCGCCTCCGGACGCCCCCGGCCGCAGGCGAGGCCTCCGCGGCCAGACAGGCTGCCCCGTCCCCGCCCGCCCGGACCCCAGCAGGCCCGGACTCGGCCTACCTCCCGCCCCGCAGGCCCGGGTGGCTTCCGCTCCGGCCGCGGCCGAACGCCCCCGCCTCGGCCCGAGTCCGGCCTCTACAGCCTGAGCGCGAGCCGCGTCCGGGCAGAGCCTGCAGTCCCGGCTCCCGCTGGCCCGCCGGCGCGCCCGGGGCCCCGCACTCACTCTCTGGCCGGTTGGGCGCACTCTCCGGCGCCGTCGCTGCGCTTCCCCTCAGTGCAACTTTATTAGCAGCTCGGCGGCGAGACACGCGCACGGCGCCCGCTCGCCCAGGACCCGGATGAGGGAGGGAAGGAGCCCAGGACTTCCCCCCGCCCCCCACACCGGGGTCGGCGCATGCGCAGAGGCCGCCGAGTGACCGCGGCGGGCGGGCGGGTGGGCAGGGCCGCCTCGCCCCGGCGGCCGAAGGAAGCTCCGGCCTGGCTCAGCTCCCGCCAGCCCTGGTTTCCGATCAGCCCGAGGCTTCTCGCCCCAGAGGCCAGGCTCTGGAGTGGGAGTCGCCTAGCTCCCATCACCACAATAGCCACGAGTCGTCTCCACTAACCAAATCAGCCCACGTTGTAATAAAATAATTGTCCTCGACACGGACGGTTGGAGATTCTCTCGGTGCTCTATAAAGTGCAAATAAAGACATCGTCATCGGTGCAACTTTGCTACTTTTACTGACTTGTAATATAAATCTGAGCGAAGAGCGTCCTCCTTCTGCGAAAAAGTAGCTTCAAACCAAGTTTCTGAAAAACTTTTAAAGAACTGTTTTTATTTTAAAAGTTCAATGCTGATTTTCCAATATTCCACTATAGGCTTCCCTTTTAAATACCTTAAGGTTAAAAAAAATCATATTTAATCCTCTCATACCTTAATCCAATTCATCACGAGCTCCTATTAACTCTCCCTTCAAAATAGATCCCCAGTCTGACCATTTGTCACCACAGCCCTGTCACCGTCACTGCCGGAGCCAGGGTCCTCTCACCTGACACGCCAAGTGGACAGCTGCGGCCTTGCTCCAGGCTCCTCCAGGCTCCTCCAGCCGTTTGTTTCCGCTGTGAAGAGACACACGGAATGTTGCAAACGCCTGCGTTAGGGTGGCATCTCCACCGTGGACAGAGGCCTGGGAAGGCGGTGCAGTGGCCCGGGGGCGGGAGGGGGACACCCGAGGGCTGCCTGCTCTGATCAAAGCGGGCAGCTGCCTTTCCACTCCCGTCAACTGTCACCGCGGGGAAAGGTGGGAATAAGGACCCAGTGTTGGCAGGTCTTCTGATTTTTCAAAAACAGCTGGAAATCTGCATTTTAATGAAAAAATTTCAGTTTTATATGTTTAGCAACTCCTTTCATTCTTTCTCTCTGTTACACTCTCTTTCTTAGGCATTCAGGAGGCCAACCCTACACAAGCCAAGCAAAACAAATCCATGGTCCCGATTTAGCCTGCTGGCCATCAGTTTGCAATCTCAGGTCTGCATCTTAAACCTCTTTACTACATCATAAACTTTGTGAAAGTAAAGTCTGTGTACTTTAACTCTTTGTCACATGCGTTGATTATTTGTTGTTAATTCAGAATTTTCCAGCCCTTGGAAGGCACATATTTCTGGAGCCTGCATGGGTTTACAACTCCCAGAAGTGCCTATAACCCTGCCTTGGAGGATGCTTTTTTTTTTTTTTTCCTCCAGAACTGATGTTTGCAGAGTGCTTTGTTGAGTATTATGAGACATAAGAAGTTGGTTTAAATGTTTTGTACACTAGAGCCACTTCTTACATCAAACAGATAGTAAAATCCTTCCCAAAACAAATTGCTTGCTGTCTTGCAGTCCCTGCACACACGAGAGGAATAATTTGTGAGGATAGGATTCCTTTTAACAATCACATTTATAATCTCAAAGCCAACAGCTCTGCTTCCTGAACTGTGTGTGTCCACATACTGATCAAATCAGCCAGGGACTCCAACCTCTCCAAGTTGCTAGGCAGGCTCTGCTTGGGTCTCACACTGGAGAAGTTGATAACCAAGAAGGGAGGAGTGGAAACTGGCAAACCCAACAGCTGCCTCCCGAAGCACTGAGAAATTATCCGGACCTCGCAGGGGAGAGAAAGTCAGACAGATCACTCGATACCTACACAGTCAAAAAGCTATCACACAGCAAATGAACAAGGCCTGCCAGAGCCCGAGAAATAGAGTACGGAAGCCGCCGTTTGGGGCAGTCAGCCGAGCTCTAAAAACAAATGAAGGATGAGATGGTCTGAACAGCTAGAGAATCAGGAGGGGACCAAAAGAGACAAATCGCTTTTCAGTTTAGCATTCACGTGATAAAGATCAGATAGAATAAATATTGGATTTTACTTTACCTGTCGAGGAACCAACCTGTCTCTGGGTAACTCAGGGCTGCGCTGATCAGCCAGGGACGCCCATGCATGTACTTGGTAACGTTGGAAGACAATCCTGGCGGTGGCACCCAGGAGGGTGGCGCTAGTGGCATCTGTGGAGTAGAGGCCAGGGATGCTGCTCACTTTCTACAATACACAGGACAGCCTCCCTCTACCAAGAATTATCCAGCCCCAAAGGCCAATAGTGCTGAGGTTGAGAAACCCTGATTTAAGCCCAAAATAGTTTTTCTTTAATTGGGTTAATGTGCAGGGGGAAAATGGGCCTTTTCTTTGAATTTTTCCAGTAATTCCTTTAATTACTCATTTGGTGGACAGAAGCAGCCTAAATGTTTAGTCCATGACCTACCCCCACCTTGAAGTTTCCAGATCCAAAAAGGAGGTAATTTTCAGGAAACATGAGACATGAAGAACTGGAAGAATTAACTCAGTTTTTCCATATTTTAAATTTTTATTTTAAAATATAGGGTAATTGAGGCAAATTGTTTTCAGTTTTAATATCCTTAATAAACATCTCAACTCCACCCTTTGCCGAAGCTCAGAAGAGCCTTCCTAAATGGCCAGCCCACACCCAGTAGAACTGGGAGAATGGAGAATGTTTGGAGGAGTCACCCACTGTGAAAGGATCAGTGAACGCAAGACATCAGGGGTACTCAGCCGGCCGCCGTCTCCGAGAATTCCCGCTTCCTCAGACAGTCACAGCAAGTGGACATCACAGCAAGAGATAGATCTAGGTTTGTGTGACTCCTCCAGACAGTGTTCTGGAAACAATAAAGCTGTTTTTCCAAGTTCTGAAACTTCTATATGTTCTTCAGTTGCCAAACTACCCCACCCCCAATCCTTAATATGGGAAACAGTGCAGGAGCCAGAGCTAAACTGGGAAATGTTGTGAGAAGAGGGAGCTCCCCAAGAAATGCAGCGCAAAGACATAACCCACGATCCCACCCGAGAGAGAAAAAAATCGTGTTACAATTTTCAAAAGAACCTCAAGTTAGTTCTTAACAGAAGGAACAAGGTCCTGGGCCAGCCAGAGGATACACTAAAGTGATTTCATCCAGTATTTGAATGGGTTTCTTCCAGTGAAATTTGAGTGTTCTGATGTGAAATGTTTCCTTAATAAGCCACAGACCCTTATTTTTCACAACTCAGAAGTTAAGAATCTGACCGGATTGAAGAAAAGGAAAAGGAAAGTAAAAGAATGACAGCTGTCACCACCGGAAGCAAGGGAATCTCGTGGCCACAGAGCCCTTGAAGCATCAGGGATGGATATCAGAGATTCTGTGAGCCTCTGGAATGAACATGCACATTTTTGTGTATATACCTATGTACAAATTTTCTGCAAAATAGCCCACAGCTTTCATCAGAGTCTCAAAGGGCTTCCTGACCTCCAAATGTTTGCAGATGCTTAAAGCAGTGGTTACTTTACGTGTGGTGCAAATTTAATGTGTCCATTTTAAGTTGTCTTCTCTTTTTCAGAGCAACATAATTGGGAGAGTCCTCTCTGGGGAAGGCGGCTTGATGGAGAGGGTAGGAACCGGCTTGCCTGTCTCCAGCCATCTGCTACATTAAAGAGGGCCTCCCATGGCTGGAATCCAAAACACAAAATTAAAAGGGTTGCTTGCACCCAGGGTCGTAAAACAAAGAGGCTTTCTAAAGCAGGGCTTGGAGTGAACACTCATTTCTTCCTGACTTAAGCAGCATCTGTTCTTTCTGATGGCAAACACTCTCCAAGTTAACTCAACTGACCTCCACGGTTCTGCATTCTCAGTTTTCATCCTCGGAGACGTAGTCTCGGAAGAGCCAAACCACATGTGCACTCCGTCACAAATCCAGAGCGGCAGGTGAAAATCGGGGGGTGCTGTGGAATCGGGGAGAGGTGAAGGAGACAGAAACTTCGCATCCTCTAGGATGCCTTTTAACTGCATAAATCTGAGATACGAGAACTCTGAAGCCAGACTTCCTGGTTTGAACACAGACTGTCTCACTGCTTGTGTGAACTTGCACGAGCTTTGAACCAGTCTGTGCCTCAGCCCTCTCATCTGTGAAATGGGGATAATAACAATAATATCGACTGAATAGAATTATTATGAGGATTAAATGAATACAGACTTGTTAGGTGCCCAGAACAGTGCCTGGCATGCAGCAAGTGCCATACAAATGTTTGTTTTAAAAACATGTATTTTCATTGATATACTAGCAACTTCTAAAATATTCTTCGCAAATTCATTTGTTACATAAAATGTGTATCTGAGAGTAGACCCTTTTTTCTTCTTACTTTAATAGGTGATCTCGTTCATTCTCAGGCCTCTGGGACGATCTATTGCAGATAATCCCCAAACTTCTGTTTCCATTTTTGACTTGAGCTTCAAGTCCTTAAACTACCCTTTTGATGTCTCCACTGGGCTGCAGATTTTGGATTTTGTCTGGCTGCCATACTCTCTAATCCCCTTTCTGCTGCTTCCTGCATGGTACCGTCACCCTCCTATATTAACCACAATACCAAACATTCTACCGCAGAGCCGGGCACAAGGCCTGGGAGGGTCATGCCCAGCCCCTGTGATTGGATCGTAGGCGGGCATATGAGCCAAGCAAAGCAACACGTATCATCCCTTAGACTGATGTATGGATGTTGAAAGAAAGAAGTCTTTCTTCTCATCATTGCTAAGGTGAGGGTGACTCTGAGGCTGCCAGGGACCGTCTGCCACCACATGGGGAACTTTGCTTGGATGTGAAGCCAGAGCTGATGCACAGAGAAGCCCTCAATCTTGCTGTGCCTGAAGAGCTAAAGATCCTCCTTATACTTCCCAGTTACAGTATCCTATCACTCTGATTTTGTTTGAGCTAGTTTTGCTTCTATCCCTTATAGCATCTGCACTTGGCAGTCTCACTGGATTTCTCAGGTC